TTATGCAAGAAACGAAAAAAACTCTCCGGCTCTCAGAAAACGTCAGTCGTTTGAAGACGTCACGAGAGATACGTCGGCCTGGGTCAGTTCCTGTCGGTTGGCGGAGGACGTGGTTGCTGTCGAACAGGTCGATCCATGCCAACCCCGAGGTGGTGTATGGGGAACATGTTTGGGGAGCGTTCAGACCACGGCAATGCGGCTGGATTCGGACTGAATGGGGTCTGACGTTGTCATGCAGATACAGGACACCCCGTGGCAGCTGTTGTAGAAATGGTGGGACAACCGTCAAGAATGTCATCCATGTAACGCTGAGCTGTCACATCCCCGTTAACGATGACCAGTGGTGTCCTTTCCTGCCACAAGTTCCTCCCAAGATCATAACACCCCCTCCACCGTTTAACACGCTGTCTTCCATGAGCTCTGAACAGACAGAACTGACTTTCATCAGTGACTATACCAGTCACGTCGCAGACAAAGCCGTACAGTCCTGGACCATCTAAATCTCAGACTGACGATGATGTTGCGCTTTCAATAACTGTTCTCTTTAAGGTCTGTAAGCCCTAATTCGCGTTCATTGGGCGTCAGTCGTGGCATTTCTGTGGGGGTTTTATTTACCAGTGTGAGTGTCTGACAGGCCGTCCGTATCATGTATATACCCTTATTGCACAGGTAATTTCGGCTCCCCAAGCAAAACGTGAATTTCACTTTTTCTCTTCATAAAAACGTGCCGTGGATGTGTATCACGTTCTTCATTGAGCATTCTTGTGTTTGCACGATGTGCTTTGCATTGATTTAGTTTAAACTTGTGTTTTTAAAATGTTTGCAATTTCATTTTTAAAGTGGTAAATTTTCTTTTGGCTGTCAGTTTATGTACATTTCTGGTTGTAAATTGGATTTTAATCTGCTTAAGCCTTCAGGGATTTGGATGATTTTGAATCATGCCAGTTAGACGTTGCTTTCAAATGTCAATAAAAGTATCTCCAACATCTGGGGAGATTCAAACAAAGGCAAAACACGTAGAAAAAATAAACTAAGTACACACAAACAACTACACCTACATCATGGCATAATTATACTTCTAACCAATTTAACTGCAGTCACTTCCGCCAAGAAGAGATAATTCTCTACCACCACCAAAATATTTAAGGGTATCTCGAATATATGACAGTACACATTTATAAACCAAGAGTTTAAACATAAGCATATTTATTGAGCATATTCAATGAAGTATCAAACAACGCGATTCAGCAAATAACGTGACAGAACTGGCACACGGCTGACTTAGACAGGATCAACAAGAAATAGCAGATTTCATTTACAATGTGTGAGTCACATCTATGTATACATGTACCATCTGGTTTAATGAAACTGTATGAAAGACCGGTCAATGACAAAAATATACATTTCCATATTTCTTCCTGAAAACACAAACACATAAACTGACATATTCCTACAGTAGGCGGAAAATCCCCTTTGGCCCACTTGAAAACAGATTAACTTTGAAGTATTGTCATGAAATTGGAATCTTTTACATGGTGCTGTATGTATGACTGCAATTGCGTATTTTGGAATTATAGCATGACAAAGCGAGCGAGTTTACACCGGTAAAGGTCGCACTTTCATCACTGACGTTTTCAAAGAGTAATAATTACCACCCCAGGTAGTCCAGGTGATCCCCTTGGCCAAGCCTGTGTTGTTATATTCTCCATTTAGATTCGAATAAAGGCATTCGTTATACCACCACCCCCCTCGGTGATCTTCGGCACAAGAGTTAGTATCGCTATCAAGGTCACGATCATGGGCTGAAAATGCCTGGCCATTGTGATTTTGCATCGAGTCACCTGTAACAAAACGATAAAGAAATGGGTGGTTCTGGTTAAAGTACCCACTGTGGTTAGGCCAATGGTCTTATCAAGTGAAGCATTAATTTGAATAAGGAAAGATTTGTTTGTTTGTTGTTTAACGCCGCACTCAGCAATATTCCTGCTATATGACGGCGCTCTGTAAAATAATTGAGTCTGGACCAGACAATCCAGTGATTGACATCATGTGCATCGATCCACGCAATTGGGATCGATGACATTTATCAACCAAGTCAGCGAGTCTGACCACCCGATCCCTTAGTTGCCTTTTACGTATGGGTTGCTGAAGACCTATTCTACCCCGGAATCTTCACGGGTGAATGAGGAAAGACTTGCACTGTTGTATGCGTTTTCAACCCAGACCCTTAAAACAAGTATCATCTATTTTAATAATGCATCTATCTTAACTGGATACATTGGTTCCTGAAGCCCGAGATCTTGAAGCCGGATGAATGTAGACCATTTTGTTCGGAAAGGCCACTGCTTACCTTCACGCCACTAAAGCTCAAAATGTGCAGAGTATAGATTTCTGCGGGGCCACTGATCACCGTCACGCCAATAAGGCAGGATATGCAGAACATATAGTGCTTCAATGCCACTGCTTACCATCACGCCACTGAAGCCTGAGCCATGTAGAGCATATTGTTCTTCAATGCCACTGCTTACCTTCATGCCACTGAAGCCTGAGCCATGTAGAGCATATTGTTCTTCAATCCCACTGCTTACCTTCACGCCACTGAAGCCTGAGACACGTAGAGCATATTGTTCTTCAATGCCACTGCTTACCTTCCCGCCACTGAAGCCTGAGACACGTAGAGCATATTGTTCTTCAATGCCACTGCTTACCTTCACGCCACTGAAGCCTGAGACATGTAGAGCATATTGTTCTTCAATGCCACTGCTTACCTTCACGCCACTGAAGCCTGAGACATGTAGAGCATATTGTTCTTCAATGCCACTGCTTACCTTCACGCCACTGAAGCCTGAGACATGTAGATCATATTGTTCTTCAATGCCACTGCTTACCTTCACGCCACTGAAGCCTGAGACATGCAGAGCATATTGTTCTGCAAGGCCACAGCTTGCCCTCATGCCACTGAAGCCTGAGACATGTAGAGCATATTGTTCTTCAATGCCACAGCTTGCCCTCATGCCACTGAAGCCTGAGACATGTAGAGCATATTGTTCTTCAAAGCCACTGCTTACCTTCACGCCACTGAAGCCTGAGCCATGTAGAGCATATTGTTCTTCAATGCCACTGCTTACCTTCACGACACTGAAGCCTGAGACATGTAGAGCATATTGTTCTGCAAGGCCACTGCTTACCTTCACGCCACTGAAGCCTGAGACATGTAGAGCATATTGTCTTCAATGCCACTGCTTACCTTCACGCCACTGAAGCCTGAGACATGTAGAGCATATTGTCTTCAATGCCACTGCTTACCTTCACGACACTGAAGCCTGAGACATGTAGAGCATATTGTTCTGCAAGGCCACTGCTTACCTTCACGCCACTGAAGCCTGAGACATGTAGATCATATTGTTCTTCAATGCCACTGCTTACCTTCACGCCACTGAAGCCTGAGCCATGTAGAGCATATTGTTCTTCAATGCCACTGCTTACCTTCACGCCACTGAAGCCTGAGACATGTAGATCATATTGTTCTTCAATGCCACTGCTTACCTTCACGCCACTGAAGCCTGAGACATGTAGAGCATATTGTTCTTCAATGCCACTGCTTACCTTCACGCCACTGAAGCCTGAGACATGTAGAGCATATTGTTCTGCAAGACCACTTCTTACCTTCACGCCACTGAAGCCTGAGCCATGTAGAGCATATTGTTCTTCAATGCCACTGCTTACCTTCACGCCACTGAAGCCTGAGACATGTAGATCATATTGTTCTTCAATGCCATTGCTTACCTTCACGCCACTGAAGCCTGAGACATGTAGATCATATTGTTCTTCAATGCCACTGCTTACCTTCACGCCACTGAAGCCTGAGCCATGTAGAGCATATTGTTCTGCAAGGCCACTGCTTACCTTCACGCCACTGAAGCCTGAGACATGTAGAGCATATTGTTCTGCAAGACCACTTCTTACCTTCACGCCACTGAAGCCTGAGACATGTAGAGCATATTGTTCTGCAAGGCCACTGCTTACCTTCACGCCACTGAAGCCTGAGCCATGTAGAGCATATTGGTCTTCAATGCCACTGCTTACCTTCACGCCACTGAAGCCTGAGACATGTAGAGCATATTGTTCTGCAAGGCCACTGCTTACCTTCACGCCACTGAAGCCTGAGACATGTAGAGCATATTGTTCTTCAATGCCACTGCTAACCTTCACGCCACTGAAGCCTGAGACACGTAGAGCATATTGTTCTTCAATGCCACTGCTTACCTTCACGCCACTGAAGCCTGAGACATGTAGAGCATATTGTTCTTCAATACCACTGCTTACCTTCACGCCACTGAAGCCTGAGACATGTAGAGCATATTGTTCTTCAATACCACTGCTTACCTTCACGCCACTGAAGCCTGAGACATGTAGAGCATATTGTTCTTCAATGCCACTGCTTACCTTCACGCCACTGAAGCCTGAGACATGTAGAGCATATTGATCTGCAAGACCACTGCTTACCTTCATGACGATGAAAGTTTGTTTGCTTGTTTGTTTGTTGTTTAACGTCGCACTCAGCAATATTCCAGCTACGTGACGGCGGTCTGTAAATAATCGAATCTGCACCTGACAATCCAGTGATTGACATCATGAACATCGATCCACGCCATTGGGATACGATGACATGCATCAACCAAGTCAGCGAGCCTGACCACCAGTTCCCGTTCGTCGCCTCTTACGACAAGCATGGGTTGCTGCAGAAGTGCGAGAAATGTAGAGCATTGTGTTAGCAAGGCCACTTCTTATTTTCACGCCAATGTGGCCCCAGATATTGTGAGAATATTGTTCGCCAAGACCACTGCTTACCTTCACACCACTAAAGCCCGATATATGTCGAGCATAGTCTTCTGTAAGGCCACTGCTCTCCTTCGCGACAATGAAGCCGAAGAATGTTTTGAGCATATTGTTCTCAAAGGCCACAGCTTACCTTTGCGCCACTGAAGCCCGAAATATGTCGAGTATAGTCTTCTGTAAGATGACTGTTCACCTTCACACAATGGAACCAAAGATTTAGTGAACATTGTGTTCTAAAAAGACACTACTTGCCTCTGTCGCCACTGAAGCCCGAGATATGTAGAGCATAGTGTTCCATAACGCTGCCGATGGAGAAGTGTTGGTAAAGAGCATAACCATGTTCCCCTTCAAAGTTCTCAAGGTCGATACGCAGCTCGAATTGTCGCCCTTGCGTGATGCGCCAGATGTTCTCATTGCCTGAATCATAACGACATGATTGGAATTTCAAATATTTTGGGGGTTTTACTACATGTCTTTACTATTAAGGTTAGTAGACGTTACTTACCACCCCAACCCGATGACGTGGTTCGTTATACAGTTTTTTTAAGTAAATTGTTTTTCCATGATTGAGCGCGTCAGACTTAACGCCCCTAAAAACAGTTTTTACCCGTTCACTGGTATGGCGCTGAATACAGACCACATTTAACACTACCCGGTGATGAATAGGTCTTCAGCAACCCATGCTTGCCGTGAAAGGCGACTATGCTTGTCATTGGAGGCGACTAACGGGATCGGGTGGTCAGGCTCGCTGACTTGGTTGATGCATGTCATCGATCCCAATTGCGTAGATCGATGCTCATGATGTTAATCACTGGATTGTCTGGTCCAGACTCGATTATTTACAGACCGCCGTCATATAGCTGGAATATTACTGAGTGCGGCGTTATACAACAAACCAACAAACCAACAACCCTTTTCATGATTCTTGTGATGCCTAAAGTCTCGTTCAATGTGCCTAGTATTCAAAATTGCGGACCTGTTATGTTTTATGCAAGAAAAGGCGCATTGTCGGAATGTGACTGTCATACTGTCGCAATGTCATTGCAGTTGTGGTTAAGTGTTTTAACTGTTGCGATGTTAAAGCTTGTGTTTTAACTGTTGCGATGTTAAAGGGTCAAATCAAGCTTACGCCTACCCATATGTTTCATAGATTACTTGAACTGACTCACCCAACCAGTATTCCCGTTCTAGGTCACCGAACCCGTCTTTGTACTCATTCCAAGTTCTGTAGAAATTGTCGGATCCGTCAAGTCGTCTTTGGATCACCTAAGTTAAAATCAGTGTTACAGTGAATATATATTCTTTATTGTCACAAGGTACACGGACGTTCGGTTGTCACAATCGTGATGGAATCAAGTCTTGTTTCTTACCGTCCATCCGCCACCGTTGTGAGTCAGATCACAGTAAGCTCGGATCGGACTTTTCCCGTCAGGTGGCGTAATGGTGTAGGCGCCATCTGCCGCTGAGGCGATGTTGGCTTGAATCTCACTGCAATCGGGACCTACACAGACAACATTGACATTACCCACTCAACCGGACATGGGTACAGGACAGACAGTTCAACCATGTTTGTTCGCATTTCCATGGGAAGCGTTCGTTAAATAACATTCGTATCAAGGCGCACTTAAACGTAAGGTCGGAAATGTTAACAAGCAAACGCTTTTGTTATAAATATCATTCCCTTCCGGTACGGTAAACATTTATGTGTAATCATTCGTAAAACGGTTGTCTACAGCTAAAATAACACTGCTCCCACTGGTATCAAGCTGGAGTGACTACAACCAGATAAAGATAGATAGATAGATAGATAGATAGATAGATAGATACTAGATAGATAGATAGATAGATAGATAGATAGACTTCAAGTTATAGTTTACTGTTTGATTGGGTTTCTAAACATGCTAAAGGTTAGTGATAAAAGAAAAGAAAAACATTAATATGCTGCTTGTCACAACACTTCATATATATACATTATGAGTTGTGACAAGCAGCAGATTAACATTAATAACAACAGGTAATGGATAACAACTTATTATCCATAAAGTTGCATGTTTTTTTTTTATTTTTTATCATTTTCCAACCTTAAGAAAAACAATCAAACAGTAAGTTATAACCTGAAGTTAAAATGTTGGAGTACGAACTTCGTTTTATTTATTCGTTAATGAGTTGGGAAGTACTGTTCTGTATTTCTTAGTTTTTATATTTTTTCCTATTTGCCATAAGTGGATCATTTCTTTTAGACAGATTGTTACTGGAATTGCCTGCTTGTTCTACAAATGATCTATTTAGTCAGCATCGGACTTAGCTGATGATATATCTGATTCTGTTGTATCAACCTAACAAATTAGAACCGGGGCATCAAGGCTGGCATCTTCAGTATTTGTGTTTTAGTTCAAGAAGATCTTCTCCAGCCTTTTGCCCCAGGGTGAGATTAATTGCTGTGTTATTTCCTGCCACAAACCTATACAGATATTTTGTAACTCTTTTAAGTTATAACTTACCCATAGTTTTCAGGACCTTCATTTATGTTCTAGTTATGCCTTCCGCATCCCAATCATCTTGCTTGTTTGTTAGTTTGTTTGTTGTTTTACGCCGCACTCAGCAATATTCCAGCTATATGGCGGCGGTCTATAAATAATCGAGTCTGGACTCTGGTCCAGTCCAGTGATTGACATCAATCCACGCAGTTGGGATACGATGACATGCATCAACCAAGTCAGCGAGCCTGACCTACCGATCCCGTGAGACGCCTCTTGCGACAAGCATAGTCGCCTCTTACGGCAAGCACGGGTTGCTGGAAACCATATTCTAACCCGGATCATCACGGGTCACCCGGGTGGTCATTCGTGACCAACTCGTGTTATTCCGGGACAAGCCGAATAGCGACTCGTGCCCCTCTCATGGCCATTTTTGCGACCGGGTTCCGTCTTAGCGCAAACGGGCATACCTAAAACAGTTGTCAACCCGTTCCGTAATAGTTCACATATATTTCCCCATATATTATATACTGAACAACAAAAGTTCCTGTGACACTGAATAAGATTTAATGCAAAGTTATGTTTTTTACCAAATCTGAAACAATTTCGGTTTGCAACAGATAAAGACTCCTGTAAGTGTTCAAATGGTTTAATTTGCCATACTAACTTCAGAAAAAGCGTTATTTCATATAAAAAACATGAACATGCCAAAATGTCAATTTACAAATCAATAGCGTGTGTGTCCACCTCTGGTTGCGATGCAAGCAACACATCTTCGTCTCATGAAATGGACCAGGCGTCGCACAAAGTCCTGTGGGATATCTGTCCATATCTGTTGGAGTATGTTTCGAAGTTCCTGGAGTGTCTGTGAAACACGTGGTTGACGTCGAAGGCGCCGATCCATCTCATCCCACATGTTCTCGACTGGTGAGAGATCAGGGGAGCGAGCCGGCCAGGGGATGACATTCACGTTGTTTTGTTGAAGGGAAACCTGATCAAGTCGAGCAATATGAGGCCTGGCGTTGTCATGTTGAAAGGTAATGCCTGGGCCATGACGACGCAAAAACGGTGGAACAACAGGGCCGATGATCTCGTCGCGGTAGCGCTGTCCATTGAGATTTCCCTCTACCACTATCAAACGGGCCCTCTGTCTTGCTGTAATCCCATCCCATACCATAACGCTGCCACCCCCGAACCGGTCTTCTTCCATGACACAATGATTGACGTAACGTTCACCTCGACGTCGGTACACTCGAATCCGTCCATCGCTGTGGCTGAGGTGAAAACGAGACTCCTCCGTGAATAGAACTTGTCCCCACTGCATTGCCGTCCAGCGTAGACGCTGTCTGCACCACTGGAGACGTCCTTGACGGTGGTTTCCTGTCAAAATGGGACGTCTGGCGGGTCTTCTGGCGACAATCTCTGCACATCTGAGGCGACGACGTACGGTTTGTGAAGATATTCGTCGAAGGCCAGGGATGCTTCTTGCAGTCACTGTTGCTGGCTGGAATCGATTTCGTAGGTATGTTGTTCGAATCCAGTTGTCTTGTCGATCATTGGTTACGCGTGGCCTGCCACTCCGAGGATGGTCTCTGACTGCATTCGTCTGTTGCCAACATTGCCATAAATACCAAATGGTGTTTCTGTGGACGTTAAATTGTCTTGCAACATCACGTTGACTCGATCCTGCTTCAAGCATATCAATGGCTCGCAGACGCTCATTTTCGGACAGACGTGGCATTTCGTAATGTTGAATAATTGCGTAATTTTGTTGTTTTCTGAGTGGTTGTTGTCCGCACGATGCTAAACAATGCATATGGAATCCCGTTAACGCACACGTTTTCATCCCCATTCTTGGGTAGTGAAATGCATGGGGCTTGCATAAAAGTCAACTTTTGCATGGAATGCATGCTTTTCTGTAGCAATTGCGTTTTTGTGACTTGATTCCATACATGTACTACAATATTGAAAACCAAACTTTACTTGTTTGAAAAATACACAAAAATATTTGTGTCACAGGAACTTTTGGTGTTGACTTCAGACTGCTCGTGGTTGATGCGATTGTATCAGGTTCAAGAGTGTAGGGTATTGAGATTGGGTAGCAGCCAATGTTCTATCAAATCTGAAAATAATTACTTTTCCTGGTGCTAGTCACCTCATTTCTTTGTTGCCTTAGAGACAGACCCACACCCATGGACCAGACCCTATCAAAGGATGACGCCTTTCCCCTTACCTAATGGTAGGTAGTATGGGTGCTTTTTGTACAGTTGACCAGACTAGTTTTATTTTCCCAGGTTTGTAAAGGTAAATGATTTGGAAGCCCTGGTAATCACAAATGCTGCGCAGATAAGGTAAACGCATATATTGGAGGAGCGTTCTCTGAAAACTGCTCTACCAACGCCACGCGAAGTGTACCTAAATAGTTCTTCATGAAGAGCGATGATAAATGTCAGGGAAACATTCATTGTGTCCTTATTGTCCTCCGAAATTCTACTACAGCTCGGTGGCATCTCCTGCTTCTAAAGATTATACCCCGTGCGCCTTTTTCTATCAACCACGCACTGTAAAATGTGTATAGAATCCAAACACATACAAGACGTGTTTAGGAACGTGTTGAAATCCCAAGCGGGGTACATCTATTCTATTGTTATATCTAAACTCGTTTAGGGTCTAAATAAGCCATCGTCTCACACCCTAAACACAATATCCCCATAGTCTATACATGTTAAAAACATTAACATGTATTATGTTTGAACATGTCTAGAATGTCAACACAATTAAACATGTTTATGACACAATGAACACCATTGTGTATTTTCTTAATAATCTAAACATGTTTAGAATATAAAGTGCATATCATTGTTCATTAAGTCAAATATGGATAAGATGTGTAACATACATTGAAATGAGATTTGCAAATCAGATTCACAGGGACTTGCATAAGGCATATACCACCAGGATATAAACGATCTTGGTATTATTTGAACATAAACATGTACAAATACACCAGCCTAAGTTTACAATTGTGACGACAAAAGTCTCCCTAGCACACACACACACACACACACACACACACACACTTCTGTGTAGAATGCGCCCCTTTCATAAATTATCCACAATGAATTTCAAGGGCGTTTTCGGGTCTTTCCCTCAATTATACCCTAAACACGTTTAGCTCTTAAACACAATTCTGAACATGTAAACAATTATGAGAATGTGGTTAGGTTTGTGTTTAGGATCTTCACGCATTTTTATAGTGTGTATTAAACATTATTTTTCTCTGTTCCGTTTTTAATTGTGAGACGTCTCCTATTTTGTTGGTTTTATTTATGACACTTTTTTTGGTACGACAGACCAACTGTTCGGCAAGTTCGATAATACACCCTTGCCAAACTCATAAAGGGATTGCCCCTTTCTTCCTCAATTGTAAAGAACTTACACACATATGTACTGATGTCATGCTATTGTTGACAAAGCAAATGTATACCCATTATGTTATTCTTATAACTAACATTATAACCCATTGCACATCATTTTCCCCTGAACAAAAAATAATCAAATGACATTACATACGCCTAATAATGAAGTATGACTTCTAATATAAGAAACCTATGAAAACAACAGATGGTTAAGTGCACACCCACTTTACGCCCCAACTTACCAGTGTCCTTGGTATATTGCACGTAGTACTTGAACCCTGGCTGGGGATCCATGTCATCCTTGCTTGTGTATGTCCACGAATGAGCTTGACAGGATCCGGTTTCTGAATTGTGGAAAAATGAAGCGCATTTTCTGTGTCTTTTGCACATGGAGGCACAGCCAGACACTGCGAACTCCGTTTTCATCCATATCAGACTGGAATTACGGGCAAGTGCGTCTTGGAGAAGCTGGTCAGGTCTATAACTTCCCTGTCGACACTGACAGGTGACTCGAGCCACAAGAACAGCTGCTATGAACGCTGTATGCAGAATATGGTACTTCTGGACATTACCTGCCATCATCAATCAGCAACCAGAACTTATTCGTATGAAAAACGCAACGGTCTTACCGATCAATGACATCAATGGTTGTTATATCGAGTCGCTGGGTGTCTTCAGTATCTCCCTATACGCTTGTATATGTTCAAGCGATATTCATGCTGCATGAATAAGGGTGGTAGATAGTCAGGCGGTGTAAAATGTGTTGGTCAAAACCTTTATAGACTTGCACTGCCAACAGACTGAACCAGGTACACACAATGCCGTATGCATTCAATTTGATAATTTCTCAACTCTTGGCACTAAGGCCTGTTATTATTTGGAATATATGTTCCTCCAGTCGCATCAGCATTTGTATGTTGCCGCTCGCCACCGCCACTGATTTGGTTGGCCAGTGGTGTATTGAGCAAAGCGACTTTGACTGTGAAGTCATCATCTGTGGGGACCTGAATGCATGTGTAGGCGGTTGTAACAACCGCCAGAGACACTGGTTCAACCAGGCCTCAACAATGCAGCCTTTCCTGACAAAAACAGCTGTTCCGGTTGAAAACAGACAGTCATGTTTTGTAAACGCTTTTGGTCGTAAGCTACTGGAACTGTGCTTCACTCATGATTTATTTACAATGTATCTTCAATGCAAGACCACTGGATAAAGATAAAGGATGAAGTGTAATCGATTATTGTATTTGTTCAGTTAATGTTCACAGTTATTGTCAACCAATGCTTGTCGATAACATATGTCTGTATGTTTATATTCGGACATTTTTCACCCTGGAGTATCTAAAAGTGATGTCTATCTTTCCACCAAAACACACAGGTAAAAATGAAATCCATATAAGCGTGAAGTGTTTATAGGAAGTATAACAAATCTATGTACATCTTTTAACGAGCTTATCGTTCTGATACTTTGGATTTTTATCTTGCCCTCAAAAAAGATGTGAATGTTGTTCTTTGTGCCGCTGAATGTATGAAGGTACATTGTGTTAAAAGTTCATCCCGAAATACGGAGCTCATGTAAAAATCATGATTCGAAACAACGCTTCTGAATTTATTCATGCTTTGGAATTCCCAGGGGTTTCCTAAGGAAGGTGGCAGAAGTCCGCCTGTGTTTACGCCATTTCAAGAATACAGTCTCGTGAAAAACGTATGAACGTCAAAATGTGTCGTTCGAACGTCAGTATGTCCCCGGTCTCTCGTCCAATGGAAAAGCCTTACTGTATATAATGTAAACTTCACATTAATATTAAGAATCGATTTTTTGTGGGAGTTCATTGATGTATGAAGTTTCCTATAGTTAGAGCGAAACTGTAAGAGCGTGGGAGCTAGTTTATAATTTTTTTCATTTTACTATTCCACACCTCGAATGATCTTTAGTAGTACGTGTGACCTAATGTTTACATTGGCAGTCCATACAACAACAAGAATAGAATGTCTCTTAAAGAAAGGAGCGGGGACATGTAAACACTACCACGCGCTTATATCTGTGAACACTCACTGTATTGGCCCTCGTGTTATCCACGACTGCATGCGAACGATGAGGCCTGGCATTGTCATCCATGTACTGAGGTCGAGTAGCAAGAGGGTGGTTGTCAAAATGAAGAACGTCCCGGATGTACTGGGCCCCTGCTAAGTTGCCCCTAGCAGCTTTGTGGTCGCTTTGTGACTCGTCTAGCCCTCAGTCGTGCTGCTTTCAGACGGTGCTGAAACGACGATTTGGCAACCACAGCTGTTTCAGACGAGTACTTGTTAAAAAGGGTTCTCGGCACATGAGACGAAGAAGGTCCCTGTCTTCGCGATGTGTCGTCACAGGAGGTCTTCCGGATCTGGGACGGTCCTGTACATCACCGGTCTGAGCATGTTTCTCGACTAAACGGCTTACGACTTTGTGATGATACCCCAAATTCCGACCAATGGCATTACAAAACATTCCTGTGTTATGCATGCCGATTATTTGACATCTTGTGGCGTTTGATAATCGCCTTCGTGCCATGGACACACAATGTCATGGAATAACTGTTTAAACCCGAGCTTAAGAAAGCAATTTTAACGTTTGGATATACTGTTTTTAGAGATACATGATTACATCATCTTAAGGAAACATAAATCTTCTCGTAATTTTATCATGACTGTTACATATATTGGGACCAAACAACAATGAAGGTGAGGTGAAATGGGGTTTAACGTCGCGTCCAAGATTATTGCACTTGTATAGCTACATGCTACACGTGTGTGTGTGTGCGTGTGCGTGTGTGTGGCTGCTTGTACCCTGCCGGACTGATGCCGATTTATTGTGCTAGCACACTGAGATACCATGCCGCAGTTTAACATGAATATCCCACTCAGACACAGTATACTGACTCCGAGCCGACCAGTCCTTGTTTTAGCCCCTTAATGCCGAGCGCCAGACAGGGTAACAACAAGTACCATCTTTTAACGTCTTTTGGTATGACGCGGCTGGGGGTCGAACCCCGGACCTTCTGCTCTCCGGGCGGACGCTCTACCATTAGACCACGGAGGAGGTCCAAACAACAATGACATATACTAGGATGTGCTTAACCTTTTTCTTTGTGTATATGTTGACAAATCAAGATAATTAACTTGAAACTATGGACTCGATCTGTGTGTAGCTTGACAAGTGACAGCTTACAGCAACTACAACAGACTGGCCTTATGCCAGATTTCTCTCGGTCCGCTTTACATATCTTTGGGAATAATTATATAAATGTGTTACTACAACAGCGACAGTCAGGTGCATGGCCATACATCTATATACATCAAAGTGTCGGTATCACCAGCTCTCTGTAGGGCTTCAATGACAGCACGTGGAACTGTACAACCAATGTAAACACAGGATAACTACCCAAATGGAAATGTTATTTCATGTTTTAGGACATTTTCTCAATAAAAGTACCATACTATGATATAAGTTTCTCTAAATGGGTTATCTAGATGCTTGGACGCGACGTTAAACCCAATCTCACCTCACCTCACCTCACCTCACCTCACCTCTTGAAAGAGTCGCTGGTCTGTGCCAGAGGTTCTAGGCTGGCATACAGAAACACTTAACAAGCGCCCTTGTGATGACATGTGTATTACACGCGTGAAATGTGCTGGTATCTGACGATCGTAATTCAGCACCAAAACGTTGACAAATACGTCACAAAACGAATAACGTAATTTGTGAAATTGTGTTGCAAGATGCATCCGCAAAACAATGACCTGTGATGTCCTCCTAGTAACAGGGTTGCTGATGTCATCGAGTATGCATAAGCCTTTCTCAGTGATTTATCATCTCTACACGCAATGTCATTGAATAAGCACCAGAGATGTTGTGAGTGAGTAAGTTGAATTTAACGCCGCTTTTAACAGTAGTGCAGTTAAATCACGGCGTGTCAGCTTAATGTGGGAGGAAAGCCCGAAGTGATGCAGGTCTCAGACGTTTACCACTTCGGTGAAACCAACGAGCACGAGTATGGTGCTGACAAACCTAGAAACATAATCGGGACGAACCGGGATTCGAACCCACAATCATAGGTTTCTGGCGTGTCCAAGGGACGCAACTCTGCACAGCGAATCGCGGCGCCTTAGACGACTGGGCCACCCGTGCCCCCCTGTGTACCATAACATCTACTGATGTGTTTATAGTTGAGATTTACTTGTCAGTATTATGTACTCAAAGTGTTTTCAACGCTGTGTATACAGTAAACTACGGTTTTAACGAACTCAAAGGGACTACTAATTTTAGTTCGTTATAACCGTAATTCGTTATAAGCATATATACAGCATAACTACAGCATATAGTCGGGACTAAAAACTTAGTTCGTTATATCCGTTAGTTCGTTATAAGCGTGTTCGTTATAACCGTAGTTTACTGTACATGACTTCCATGAGATTATAAGACCTGCCAATGCAGCGTCCTTACTCAAGGTTTTGTACACAATACGTCTCCCCTTAGGAATAACAATTTACGTCAAAACATTGATGAGCCCACAAACCGTTCCCAATGGAACTGCGAAAGACATCATGCTGAGAATCTACGTTTAAACATTGATAAGTGTCCACAAAGCGTTCGCTATGGAACTACAGGAGAGATTTGTATAGAGGGAACGTAGTGGGTACACCCCTGTAAATTATTGACGGACCTTACAAGCCACGAGCATAATTCATGACAGTTGGACTAGTCAATGGCATCCAAACAGAACAGTTTGGGATTCTTATATTTACCAGCACTTTTGGGTCTGTCAAAGAGTAGAATGGATTCAGAACATTCTGCAATATTGTCACGGTGCTGAATTAGTGATTACCATGCCTATACTTTAGTGACGCCTCGCCCACAGAGGAACAGACTCCTAATTGTCAAAAAGATAATATATAGCGTACGCAAATGTACTGTTGAGAAAAACATCAATACTTAAGGCGTACTGACAAAGATTAACCAAACTGATGTTTAAGGATTGATCTATTTATTTAACACTAAGCAACAAACCAAGCTAAAAAGCATTAAATACGAGTTGAACTCGCACAGCGTGAGATACGTATTATATGCCAATACCCACAAGTATATTAGCAACACTGATAGTAAACTAGTCAGTACGTATATACAACTGGCCCGATCTAAATACACAGTGGTCTTAATTAAAGGGAAACAACACCAGCCATTGTATTACCAATGATTCCAACATGGAACCAACAAAAAACGATGTCCTATTAGCCAGTAGCCAGATCATTAAACAATTCAACAATTTCGATTAAAAGTGGCTGTGTACTTGTGAGGCAAGAAAGTGAATCTGAAAATATAATAAATTGTTTATGTTTTGATTTTGATTTATATGTTCTAGTGCTGTTAATATGGGGTTTGCTTGTGCCGTAAAATGGACCATTTATCTGATAGCCGTTGTGATACAGTCCTGGATCCAGTGACAGTGACTCTGTCAACAGTGTCACCATCCTTGGATCCATCTGTAATTATAGATTTGTAAGTGTTTGTTTGTTTGTTTTTGGTTTAACGCCGTACTCTGCAATATTCAAGCTATATGACGGCGGTCTGTAAGTAATCGAGTCTGGACCAGACAATCCAGTGATTGACAACATGAGCATCGATCCACGCAATTAGTATTGATGAGATGCATCAACCAAGTCAGCGAGCCTGACCACCCGATCCCGTTAGTCGCCTTTTACAGCAAGCATGGGTTGCTGAGGATCTATTCTACACCGGATCTTCAACAGTTCGCCGTGACATCTACGAGCCTGTATGTAGGTACTCCGGGGTTCAGAGGTTCCCTTCACAAAACGAGTGTCAATGTTGGTGTAGAGTAACGGCTGCAGTGAGATAATTATCGGAGTCCAACTGTCACACATGCGCAGACACTGCTGTATATCCAAGGTCGTGTGCTAAATAAAGTACTTATCTTGAGGAATCCATGCATACATGATAGTGCAACATTTAATGTTGACATACTTCCTCAAGATGAAGGTAGGTTTGTATATTATGTCGAGTTATAGGATAGATATATTTCAGAGTAACTGCTGTTCATGTGTTTTGACTGGAAACGTACTTTGAAACCACTGAAAAAATTAAAAACAACTATTTTTCCCAATATATACCACACTTATTGAGCCATATGATTGCGAATTTAAGGCAGTTTGACGATCTTTCGTGGATGTTATATTCTATAGGGGCGGTCTGGTAGCCTAGTGGTTACAGCGTCCGTCCGTACCGGAATCAGGTTTTTATTACCCATATGGCCACAATGGGTAAACCCCATTCCTATCAACTCTACCAATACAAAAGATATCTTTGTTCGTGACTACAGATACTGAGAGTGAATATTGTCATCACGGGTAATTATAAGGCACAAAACGCAGGTGTATACACCACTGTACACACACGTCACATGCTCAAAGTAGAATGCATACAGGTTAATCTTCAGTCACAAAATGTAGTTTCCTTTTGTTATGATCTTAAACAGTATGCACTCTTGGCAGCTGTTAGTTGTGTCAAATCTGGTGCTATCAATACCCGGAAAACAATTCTGGCAGGAACCTAGGAGGGTGCTCATTACATTACCTCCATAACTGTGGGGACGGTAAGAACCAGTCCATAGTAACCTTGACTTTTCGTCATGAAAAGTCAACGATGCAAGGTTAAGGTGACTTGGCTCATTATGTCTTATTGCGCCAGATGGATCATTTCTCACATTTGCGAATAAAATAAACTTTATTCAAGTAAGCATTTTCTGCCTTTGCAGCTACAGCTTAACGGATGTGTGTTGTTGATACTTGCTGGTTTTGCCAGCTGTTATGGTAAGTGTACATAACCTTATTTATCATATAATGGGCAGGTTCTCGGCAGGATAAAGCCAACGGATAAAAACGATATCCGTTGGGGTCATATGCGGAAAGAGATGCAAATATCAAAGGTCAAGTAGGACTACTTTCACTGTTTATAAACAAACATGGCGTCGTCCTCGTCATTCGGCGATCGAGTCAAAAGTAACCATCGGGAATCTGGATAAACAACAGGGATAATTGCTATCATTATCAAAAGAACAGTCTAATATACTGAAAATCAGTGTCTAACTGTGACGTAGCTAAGGCATTTTATAAGTTTTGGCTACTTTGGAGGTATAAATTTCGAAACAATTTTGCGAGGGCACGAGGCCTAGCCAAGCGGGATCAGTAGCAATATCTGTGCTTGTAGACCTCTGCGACTTGAAACCTTCTCCACAAATTAAAATAGTTGGATTTGGCAGAAATATGTTTGAATTGTTACCTTGTTTGGTTTTGTCGCTGTGTGTACATCTGACTACACTTCTTAACCTTATGACAGGACAGACCGACTGTCAACAACGTCTGTCCGTGCCCGTGACGTCTCATAGACTAGGGTTAGAGTAGCTTCCCTTTGACAAAGGGCAGTTACTCTAGCGGACAGACCGATGGATTGGCGCGAAAGGCAATTAAAAACAACTGTTGTTTTGCGTATATGTTGCTTCGCCACTGTATAAGAAAGATATTTCAGTTGGAACTATATTGGCTACTGTCACTGTCCGACTGACACATCACTTACCCTGTGACGTAATAAATATTAAAGCGCGCATTCCAGGAAAACTCGCAATGTTTCGGTAATGTTTGTGAGAGAGGGATAGCGATTTTAAAGCACAGAATTAAAGCATGACATTATATGATAAAGAGGTTATCACGCTTGTGTGTTTGGGGATGGTAAATATCCTGTATTAGGAATAAACACTATGTATTTAGCTCGCCAAGGCTCGCTAAATACAATGTTTATTCCTAATGCGGGATATTTACCATACCCAAACACACTCGCGTGATAACCTCTATGTATGTAAGTCACATTTTTCCATCGATGTATAGAAGAAGAAGAAGAAGAAGTTTATTCATGAATGAAGGCCACATGGCCCAGAGTTCATTTACAGGAATAATATATGCTATGCACATGCACGAATTTTCTTACAACAAACGTTCATATTTTTTACATTTGTATTTACATAGGTAAATGTATTTTTAAATATATGGACAACAGAATCACGTCTTGTAGATAGAAGACTGATAGATTTTGGAACAGATGGTTGTACATGGTAACATTTTGGAATTAAATTTTCTCTACTAATTTTATAAAAAGGACAAATTAACAAAAATGGTATTCATTTTCTACTTCATAGCGGTAACATTTCATACATAAACTAAACGATGACTCTGTGGTTGTATTAAATCGAGTTTTCTGTTCATTTAGATTATGGCTTAAACAACAGAATTTACATAAAGCTCTAAGAAGATCACTTACACATGCTAAAGTAGACAGATATATTTTTTGGTTCGATAAGTGATTAATGAGATGAAAAACATCAAGGAAATAAGAATTGGTGATTTTGTAATGTCAGTTTTGGACTTCTTTATCTTCACATCGTTGTTTGAATATAACCATGAAGCATGTCATATCGCCGCAATCCTGAGACAACCACACATATGAAAACCCAGTTTGAAACAATAATTGTCTTATATAAGAAACCCAGTTAGTTTGACCATTTTCGTCAAATGCTTTTAACACATGGTAACAGGCATACGGATATCTTGTTTCATGTAATCTAAGCAGTCGACACCAGTACTTAATACAACGACTGTAATAGTGTACACACAGTGATGTTCTTCCCAGCTCTCCTAGAATTGCATTTGTTGATGTTCTTTTACCAACGGAAAGAACACTTTTAAAGATATTACACTAAACCTTTTCAATGCCTTTTTTTTAGGCACATCTCCAAATTTCTGAGCCATATAAAATAACAGGAAGAATCTTTGAATCAAATATTTTAGCAGCAGTAGAAAATGGGAGAGATGGGAATTTCTTTATCATATTTAACACAGGAAAAGTCGCTTTCCTTGCTTGAATAGCTAGTGTATCACATGATTTAGTCCAAACAAGCCTTGAAGAGAATAGTAGACCAAAGTATTTGAAATATTATACAACTTCAATTTGCGAACCTTTATAAAAACATTTCTCAGTTTTCCTCAGATAACCACCCTTTCTAAAAACTATGACTTTTGTCTTATCTAAATTAACGTCAAGGCCCCATTTGTCACGATAAGAGCCTAAAGCATCTAGTTTTCTCTGCAGTCCAATTACACAATTATCAATAAGAGGGACATCATTTAGCAATTAATAATAACATGATTTCATCAAAATTATCTTTCACAAATATGCCTCTTAGCCCAGGAATCTCCATTTCACGTACAAACGCGTTTATAAAAAGTATAAAAAGAACAGGACTCAAGTGCATCCTTGTCTAACACCACTTGTTGCGTTAAACAAACTTGTTTTCACATCTTCAACCCTTACACGGGCTTTTATATTTTCATACATATTTCTAAGGATAATAAACATTTTACCATGAACACCTCTATTTAATAACACATATAACAATTTATTTCGATCTACATAGTCGAAGGCTTTTCTCAAGTCTATGGAACAAGCATACAATCTGTGGGGGTTTTTTTTGTGGTTTGATTTTTTAATTTTTTTTGGATATTTCTGACATAGGGATTGTAGAACAAAAAATTGATCAGTGGTGGAATAAGCATTTCTAAATCCCGCTTGTGCTTCATGTAGCATATCATTAACTTCGACCCAGTTTCGTATTCTCAGTTCCAGTACTGAAGTGAAAATTTTCCCAATGATATTTAGAAGCGAAATTCCCCTGTAATTATCTGGATTTCGAGCGTCACCTTTTTTTTACAGTGGGATAATCATTCCTATATTTCACTCATCTGGAAATCTGCCCCATCAAATACAGAATTATGAAGTATATCTAAATATGACACAACGGAAAGATCATTTTTATAAAGTTCAGAAGGAACACCGTCAATACCAGGTGCTTTACCAGACTTTAAACTTCTAATAGCTGCCCTTATTTCATCGTCATTAATGGCTTCGGACAGTATATGTGTAGTATTATAATTCTCACAGTTATCATAACCATCTTTCACATTTATATCAAAATCACTATGTGTTTCTGTATCTTTGATATTTAGCAATGTTTTTAAGTAGTTGTACCAATCAGGACTTGATACATTGTTGTGAACACTGTTAGAGCGAAGCAAGGATTTGATCTTTCTCCAGAACATTTTACAGTCGTTTGACTGTACGACAGATTCAATCTCGTGTACGACAGACATTTTAAAAGCTTTTTTCTTTTCATAACACAATAAACGGCATATCTTCTTTGCTGTCAGGTAATTTTCTAAATTTTCCCAAAATCTGTAGTTCCTTAGAAAATCTAAACTTCTTTCTCTTGGCACATTAACATTCAGATTCAAACCATGGAGGTTGTCTTACTCTATCATATGATCTATTTCTATTTATAACTTTAGAGTGATCGCCAGCATATTGGTGTAATTCGACAATTTTAGCAGTCGCTGCATTTACATTCGTATGTACAACATCAAGTAAATCATTAACTATGTGACTGCCCATATCAGAGTTTAATCGACTTTTAAACTCTTCATTACCGTAATCATGCCATTGGAACTTGAGTATTGTTTCGGAATCAAGATCAGTCTGCCTGTGATATGGCCCACTATGGGAAAGACATGGAAGTTGTAGCTCCACATGAAACTGGTAGATGATCAGAATCCGGTCTAGAGTGAACAGCTAGATCTATGATATATTGGAACATGTTTGATGATCCGATAAAGTAGTCTACCAAGCTAGTACTCCTATTACTGACACATGTAATATATATATATATATATATATATATATATATATATATATATATATATATATATGTTTGTGTATGTATGTATGTATGTATGTATGTGTATATATATATATGTGTATGTATATATATATATATATATATATATATATATATATATATATATATTGTTATCTTATTAGATTTGTTGTCTTTACATGTACGTATATATATGTGTGTGTGCGTGCGTGCGTGCGTGCGTGCGTGCGCGTGTGCGTATCATGAAGCATCTACGTCCTTTTATAGACAATCCATTTAAATATATTTCGTCATCGACATGAATGCATTTTTCAGACACAACCGCAGGACTTTCTTACAGAACTCGCGCGACCGGGTACACTGTTGCGGCAAGAAGTAAGACGACATTTGTGATTTAAAGAGATGACATTGTTCGTGCTCAACTATACTAATTTTTCACATTCGATCTCCAGTGTTTGTAAGTGGGTTGTCAGCCTTAATACACACAAACACAACAGCAACCAAGAACACAGTGGATACGTTAACCTTTATCTTCAAAATTCACTGATTTAGACGATGGATATTGAGACACAAAATATTACCCGTTTCAAAAAGTCATTGCCCCAAAAGCACAGGACCAACAACTGCCTGAACATTAGATAGTACCAATGAAATATTGCCACACCATCTTTTAAGAGATTGCCAGGTGAAAAATTACTTTGAACGTGAAATAACTTTGACGCCAGTTCCTAGAGAAATGGTTTTGAGCATTTTCTGGTACCAAACATATTTTGTTCCAAGATGGCGGCCGTTTAAAGATCCAAGGAAAGCACTTTGTTAAAGATGGGCAGCGCGTATTTTTGTCTGGCGTTAATCTGGCATGGATAGCGTATGGGTACGACTTCGGCGACGGCCAATACCAAAACAGACGTGATAGGTTCGAACACTACCTCAAACTCGTGAGCGACAACGGCGGAAACTCTATCAGTAAGTACAAATGGTAAACACTAAACTTCTAATTTGCTTTAAGGCGTATTTTCGCCAACGCCATCCTTTCACATTTAATGTAGAGTTGCCTAATGTGTAGCAGCACACATAAAGTGATATGTTGTCTGAACAGGTTGCAAGTTTTATAATACCTACATTATTTCATCTACCTACAGCCTATCATGCACGTTTTAAGTAATATTCTTCATAACACATGGTGAAGTTATGTTGGATGCTGGTATGAATCCTATATTCCAGGAGTGTGGGTTCACATCGAGGGGGCCACATCACCCGCCTTCAACGACAAGGGATACGTTGTTGGTCTTGATCACAAGGGGACATTCCTGAGTGACATGCACGAATATCTGGAGTCAGCCAGAAAGTACAACATCCTGGTGTTCTTCTGTCTTTGGAACGCTGCTGTGAAACAGAACCACGCCCACATGGACGGACTTATAAAAGGTACAACTGATACAGGAGTTCTTCGGACGGCAATCTGCTCAGCCAAGTTTCGGAATACCCAGTGTCATACAAGTGGGTACCTGGGTGATATGACGGGTCCATTGCACTGGAAATAGAATGTTGGGTGCAAAATGTCAGATGTGGATGAATTCTCACCTCATCCAGAAAAAATGACCATTCATGATGCAGCACAAACAACCATGACCCGTGAAGATCCGGGGTAAAATAGGTCTTCAGCAACCCATGCTTGCCGTAAATGGCGACTATGCTTGTCGTAAGAGACGACTAACGGGATCGGGTGGTCAGGACCGCTGACTTGGTTGATGCATCTCATCGTAACCCAAATAGCGTGGATCGATGCTCATGATGTCAATCACTGGATTGTGTGGTCCAGACTCGATTATTTACAGACCGCCGTCATATAGCTGGAATATTGCTGAGTGCGGCGTTAAACAACAAACAAACAAAAGACAAACAAGAAACAACCGTGTTCAGTCTGCCCTGTCGTGTTCTTTCACATACTTAATAAGACAGATGGTCGTTTTAATGCCTACTCTCCTCAGACATGAGCAAGCTACAGACTTACCTTGACAAGGCCCTCATCCCGTGGGTGAAGGCGGTGAAGGACGAGCCTGCCATGGGGGGCTGGGACATCATCAACGAGATGGAGGGGGAGATGAAGAAGAACTTGGTCAGTTCAGACCCGTGTTACGACACGACCGCACTTGCCCGCTCTGGAACTGGCTGGGCAGGACAGCTTTACTCGCCACAAGAGTTTCAGATGTTAGTGAAACTAAAAACGATGTACATGCGATCCTTTTCAAGCCTGTCAATACCCATGTCGTCATGGAGACGACATCAAAATGGAACATTTTTTTTCCGATAGGCATGTTAAAGTCTCTTAACGTTTTGTCTGATACCTCTGGACGAAAAATCACAAACCTTGCACCATAGCTATTCTGACACCTTGATCCGACCTTGATTTTGTTTTCAATATTCTTCTTGGGCAACGGTATTGAATAACCCATGCATAATCATGACACTCATATGGATTGTTTTTAGAAAAAGAACGGCATTGGCACATGGGTAGTATGTAGCAGAGCTCAGCGTACAGTTACGTTTGTCTGCTATATTCTGAATACTGACCCTCATGTCATCTTTACCTTTGTCTCCTCTTATCAGGCTGAAATTTGTAATGCATGTTACTTACAATGATGAAGCCATAGGCCATTGTCAAATAGTTAATTGTAATGATATTAAACAAATATCTTCAAATGGGTATACATTTCGATTGCAAAAAAATCTCTGGAAAATGAAAGATACGTTCATATGGTACAGTTGGAATCGTACGATGAACTCTTGTGTCTTGTTATTTAGAAATTCTTTTTTCGGATTTACTAGTGGCTCCAAGTTAAAAGCCTCCGTGAATCAGCGAAAGGAAAGTGTCCTTTATTCTCACAGTATTGTGCAATACCATAAAAACATAGTTGATATGTGGAAAACTTGAATCGAAAAGACTTTGATTGTCTTTTCTTTTTTAATATGAAGTAGATGAGTTCCAATCTACAGTCATATTCTTTTACGATCTATTGTCATACGCTTGGGAAAAGTGCAGGTATCTGTACTGACGCTTTGCATTGAAAGAATACAGAACTTTCACCCCATAACGTCAACACTGTATCTTGTCGTGCGAGATGATCTGTTTCATCAACATGGATGGTCCACTGTACCGGTACAATCTCATGCATTTGTCGAAGACTTTTTCGGACGTTATGTTAATCCATTTTCATATGTATAAATGAAAAAATGCGAAGAAAGTGGACTACAACCATCGTCACAGTCACATAAGTATGCCGAATGATGCTGGTGGTGGTGAGGTTACTGCTGCGACGAAAGCTGTTGCTGCTGCTTCTGCTGCTGAGGGTGTTGCTGCTGTTGCTGCTGCTGCTGTGAATAGTGCTGTGACGAGTTCTGCTGCTGCTTCTGCTGCTTTGGGTGTTGTTGCTGCTGGTGCCTTTGCCTCTGTTACTGTGGGTGTTGTTGCTGCTGCTGAGGGTGTTGCTACTACTGCTACTACTGCTTCTGCTGCTGTGGGTGGTGTTGCTGCTGGTAAGGGTGTTGCTACTACTGCTTCTGCTGCTGTGGGTGGTGTTGCTGTGGATGATGGTTCAGTCCGCCGTGTTAGTTTTTGTTTTTTGGGGTCAAATAGAGTGGATGGTTCAGCCTGTTTCCGTTGCCTGTGTCCATCCTGTTTCCTTCCTTTTTCCACATGTAGTCCCATATGTTTTGTCATCATAGATTCATCAATCGCCAGGTAGCGGCTATCAAGTTAGCAGACCCGGAAGCTCTTGTGACTGCCGGCTCTGGTGCTGACATCAGCAACAAATTGGGTGGCCAAAACTACTACAGTGACAACTGCCTCATCAAATCTGGCGGCCAAAGAATGGTCAGTGGCTGTCTGAATACGAACTCTTCGCACGTTGTTATATTTAGGCTGGAGTGAGTGTGTATGGTGTTACGCCGCTTTTAGCAATATTCCAGCAATATCACGGCGGGGGATACCAGCAATAGGCTTCACACATTGTACCCATGTCGGGAATCGAACCCAGGTCTTCGGAGTGACGAGCGAACGCTTTAACCACTAGGCTACCCGACCGCCCCTATTTAGGCTGGAGTGCAGCAGTGTAGAGGAAGGTACACCAGTAAGAGTAATAGCAATGAGTTCGTTTTTCAGTCATAGGAAGTGTCCATCTTGTCATATGCGTACACGTGAATTTCAGTGGGACATCTCTACGACTGTTTTGAAAGACATTCTGAAAATGGTCCTCTCTTCACTAGCAGAGTGAAACGGGTTTGTTCAATCTGTTTTTCATGCCGCATCTTCATTTCAGGGGACTTTGAGCTTCTACGCTGTTCATACCTACGACTGGCAGGGCAAGTTCGCCTCCGACTCACCGTTTCTGGTAAATGGGAACAATGTGTTTAGGGGCCCATGATTTAATATTATGAGGCCTGGGATTTGTTGTCAACAGAATACGTTAAGGCCACTGCTTCAAAGCATATATTTTCTTCTCTGAAAGAGAAGCAAAAACAGTTAGTTTTTCTCTTCCCAATATATTATTTCCAGGACATATAGCATGTGCAGTCTACCATTTCCTTGAAAAATTATTTTTCCAGTCGGTCACTAAGTGGGTAGTGTTTCGATCAAAGATGTCTTTTTCCACAGCCAGTATATTTTGTTAATAATTGCCCAGTCTTACAGGAAATGCATATACACAATCTAGACAGGGTATATATCATACGTTATCCGCCGGTGTGCTCTTGGTGCTGCTATAAATGCATAATAAAACCACCTGTTTTATTTAGGCAGCTGCCTTGCAGTGTTTTTCAGTATTCGTTCTCCACTTTGCTCCACTTTATATGTTCCGTTACCATGGTGATACCCCGGCGCACAGAAACCCGCACATTTCGACAGTCAGTCAAACTCGAAATGGCAAAGTCATACAATCATAATTGAAAGTAGAAATTGGAATTCCGAACTGTACCTTTGGCAAATGTTGGAGGATCCGAATCAAAATCGGTAGATACGTCCACTGCAGACACAGCTCACTAGCTAACCAAATCGGCCAATAGATTCAGTCTGAAATCACAAACATACAGACATGAGTTTTCGAAGAAAGGGCAAAACAGTGAACGATAAATTCACTTTTAACTTGAATTGGAAGATGCTAAGTATTGCATGAGTGAGTGAGTTGGGTTTAGCGCCGCTTTTAACAGTATTCCAGTTATATCACGGCGTGTCAGCTTAATATGGGAGGAAAGACCCAAGTGATGCATGTCTCAGGTGAAACCCACGAGCACGGGTATGGTGCTGACAAACCTAGAAACATAATCGGAGCGAACCGGGATTCGAACCCTAAATCATAGGTTTCTGGTGTGCCCAAGGGACGCAACTCTGCGCAGCGAATTGCGGCGCCTTAGACGGCTGTTCTGCTGAGACAGGACAAGAAATGTTAGTAAGCTAAATAGCTTCAGAGTCTTGTCTCCGGGAACGTAGCCAAACAATGCGCTTGATCCGTTGTTTATTTCCATGTAGTGCAAATACATTTGATATCGGAACTGAAAAGCCACAGACCCCTCGTAAAATATAGTTCACGCCCGGGTTTGTAATAAATCATGATAGGTGCACAATAAAGTACGAAAAGCACTGAATCACTTCTTCAAACTGAAAATATAACAGTCTGTATAATCCTCAGCACTCAGCATCCGACTATGGGGCCGACCGACCAATCATCATCGGAGAATTCAGCCAGGTCAAAGGAGCAGGAAGGAAGATTGAAGACATGTTCCAATGGGCCTACGATAAAGGGTATGCCGGAGCGTGGAGCTGGCAAGCCCTGGCGACTGGGGACGGATCTGACACCATCGACACCCAGATGAAGGCTCTCCGCTACATGAGGAACAAGACCGATCAGACCAAAGGTGGCCTGGTCACAATAAAGCTGTAGTTGATGTATTTGTCGGAATGTGCTACTGTAACTTATGAACTGACCATTTGATACTCTGGGTGTGGAGATGAAGATGGCGGGGTTGGACAATAATTTTGCCTCAGGCTTAAAGAAGAAAAATAAATACGTTCTTTGGTTCCATGTTTACAAGACAACAACTGCAGTGACCAAAGTGATATTCTGTTTATGGCAAATCATATCAGCACCCGCTAACGCCCCCAACCCCAACCCCCACCCCAACCCCAACAATATCAACTGATCGATCTCTTTACATCATTTGGTGATTACAGTTGACAATCTGCAGATCGATGTTTCACACCTGCTCCGACAGTAGTCCGGTAGTTGCCCAAACTATGGTTTGCCTTTTTTGCAAGCAAATGACAATACCAATGGTTATTGCCTATGGGACGTTTTACGAAGTAGATCTGGGCTTTGGGTCTCAACGTGATGCAATGTGTAAAATTTCATAGAGAACTGGAAAATGATGTTTTGGTGTGAAACACTCATTCACTATGCACTACAACTTTCCGCAGTTTTTAGTGAGTAAGTGAGTGAGTGAGTTGGCTTTTAACAGTATTCCAGTTATATCACGTACTGTCAGCTTGGTGTGGGAGGAAAGCCCGAAGTAATGCAGGTCTTAGACGTTTATCACTTTGATGAAACCCACGAGCACGGGTATGGTACTGACAAACCTAGAAACTGGGATTCGAACCCACAGCGAATTGCGGCGCTTTATGCGACTGGGCCACCCGTGCCCCCAGGTGCATTTTAGAGTACCACTGAATATATATGCCAAGCAATAAAGCGTTTAATAACTCCATGTATAGCCATTTCCATTTTCGCGAACATCTGGTACCATCACTATTTGATAGCTTATTCCTAAACCCATGCTCATGATATAGTCGGAACCGGTACTGTGAGGTGGATTATATGTCGTGAAATCTTTAGCCACCAAGTAAGAAAAGTGTGGCTTTGATTTGGTTTTGTATATCGTCAACAATCGCCAGATGTACAATGCAAAGCAGAATACAAAGATCACTGAATTTTCAGAGCTTAAATCTTAACCTCAATGCCTTCATAAAATTCCGACACCACCGAAAACCAATCACCCACCCCTACATCCTAGTGTGAGAGAGGAGGATGGTTAAACACTTTCCATAAAGCCTACTTCTTGCCTAAATGCATTTCCCCAAAACTTTACATATATGTTATCGTTTGTTTGTTTATTTGTTGTTTAACGCCACACTTGGCAATATTCCAGCTATATGATGGAAGTAGACTTAGAATAGGTCTTCAGCAACCCATGTTTGTCCTAAGAAGCGACTAACGGGATCGGGTGGTCATGCTCACGGACTTGGTTGATGCATGTTATCGTATACTATTTGCGTGGATCGAAGCTCATGATATCAATCACTGGATTGTCTGGTACAAACTCGATTATTTACAGACCGCTGTCATATAAATGGAATATTGCTGAGTGCGACGTTAAACAACAAACAAACAATAAAACAACAAAACATTCAACAATAATCGAAAGGGCTTAATCAAAGACATTTTGGTGTCAGAAGTTGGCTTTGAAAACAATAATGAAGTTAATTGCCATTATCATCTGGCCTATTAAGTAGTTATAACAACAAATAAGAAAATAGATAGAAACATGAACGAGAGAGAAGAATAAAAGTTTGTGTCAGAAGTGGGATTTGAACCCACGCCCACATTCGTGGACCAGAACACCCAATCTCTGTGTTAGAGAAGGCATAGCCTTGAGTCTGGCGCCTTAGACCACTCGGCCATCCTGACAGCTGTTTGGTAACCCACTGTACGGCGTATTTACTCTGGATACATCTTACAAGTGACAGAGTGTGGTCTCACGCCGTATTTTGTAGTATTTCAGCCATATTATTACATTCAAAGTAATTCAGTCATATCTGTGTATTCAATGTCAAACCCACAATTCCTTGTTCAAAGTTAACATCATCACGCAACCGAGCAAGTGGATTGCGTCACTCCGTGTATTTCAAATCTGCTTTCATTCACTGTAAAACAAAGAAATGGGCACCGAGTACAAATTATTCCATTTCCTCACCAACTTTTGACAATGATCCTTTGGATTAATTAAATTCACTTGACACGTGGTCAAAATGGAAAAATCTCCTATACGGATAAAAAGTTCCCGCGAGGCGGATTTGAACCACCGACCTAAGGATGTCAGATTTCAATAACCACTACAGTCCTCCGCTCTACCAACTGAGCTATCACGGGTCCGACCAACATAGAGAAACTTATGCGCTCAAACAATGATAAGTAGATCTATAGTCGACAGACAAACTAATGTTTAACACGGTATCCTCATAAACAGTGTAACACTCTTAATATCTACAGTTTGTATATACTTGAGAACCATGCAGGCATTTGAGGAGAATGGGTGAGTGAGTGAATGCCGACACCTGCACCATCTTTTAATTTCTTAGGATTATGTAATGATTTTTGTGGCTTCTATTTATTGAATTAACAACCGGCTGTGACTTCTTACAATGCTATAAATGACATAGGTCCTGTCGCCTCACCTGCCACCGTAGTCAGTTGGTATGGTTTGTTTAGGAAAGCGAATAAACTAGGACAATGAAGAACTGAATACCATGATATCTGCATTAAATTTTACGTTGGCATTTTTTGCGTTTCTAACTATAGCTACAGCTAAATATTGTACCCAGGCTTATTGATGGAGATATGCCACGCGTTAACTTGTGTGCCTCCTGTCCGCTTAAGATGACAAATTTGGATACTAAGCTGGACAAATATCAATAAATACGCTGTATGTGTTTGTCCTTTACAACATACAGCATAAGGTTTTGAAAAAAAGGTGTGTCATAAGTGGGATTTGATTTGTTTGTCTGTTTGTTTGTTGTTTAACGCCGCACTCAGCAATATTCCAGCTACCGTATATGACGGCGGTCTGTAAAAAGTGGGATTTGAACCCACGCCCACATCCGTGGACCAGAACATCCTGTCTCTGTGTTAGAGAAGGCCTTGTGTCTGGCGCCTTAGACATTTTTTTTCAAAAAGATACTTCAAATTTCTTCATTTGATTAACGGAAAATAAGAATCCATGTGGATCAAAAGACTGTAAAATGTAGAAATACTTCGGGTTTTTTAATGAAAGCGATTTTTTTAGGCACGTGGTCAAAATATTAACAAAGTTAAATGTTCTTAATTAATTTTCCAAATGGTCTGATGATTATTTATATGTCCCTGAATACATAAGGCTGAATTTGACAAAACATTTCTCTATGCGAAAATTAAACATCTAAATTTTTTTTATAAAATTCCTCAAAAGTGATTTTTGTAACATGGTAGATTTGTAACAGTTATCCGTACATACAGATCTGTGTATGGACTTTGTCCTACATATGAATATTTTCACTTTACAGTTAATTATGCAGTAAAATGTACACTAGTTTCACCATTTCGAGTACATCATGATTCATACACGTGTCAATGTAATAATGGTGAGGGAACGGATCAAGAATGCCTGAAATTAACTGCAGAATAATTGTAAATTTGTGATGATAAAATGTCCTCAAATAACCAAAATAAATATCAGCAGCAAATAGCTTTACAACAACAAACCATTCAACAATATCCGATTTTCAAGGGGTTCACCAAAACATAATGGTGTCAGAAGTTGGATTTCAACCAACATATTCAAGTTAATTACCATTATTATTTAGCGTATTAACTAGTTAAAACAACAAACAGGAAAACAGATGGAAACTATATAAGAAAGAATAAAAGTTGTGTCAGAAGTGGGATTTGAACCCACGCCCACATTCGTGGACCAGAACACCCAATCTCTATGTTAGAGAAGGCATAGCCTTGAGTCTGGCGCCTTAGACCACTCGGCCATCCTGACAGCTGTTTGGTAACCCACTGTACGGCGTATTTACTCTGGATACATCTTACAAGTGACAGAGTGTGGTCTCACGCCGTATTTTGTAGTATTTCAGCCATATTATTACATTCAAAGTAATTCAGTCATATCTGTGTATTCAATGTCAAACCCACAATTCCTTGTTCAAAGTTAACATCATCACGCAACCGAGCAAGTGGATTGCGTCACTCCGTGTATTTCAAATCTGCTTTCATTCACTGTAAAACAAAGAAATGGGCACCGAGTACAAATTATTCCATTTCCTCACCAACATTTGACAATGATCGTTTGGATTAATTAAATTCACTTGACACGTGGTCAAAATGGAAAAATCTCCTCTACGGATAAAAAGTTCCAGCGAGGCGGATTTGAACCACCGACCTAAGGATGTCAGATTTCAATAACCACTACAGTCCTCCGCTCTACCAACTGAGCTATCACGGGTCCGACCAACATAGAGAAACTTATGCGCTCAAACAATGATAAGTAGATCTATAGTCGACAGACAAACTAATGTTTAACACGGTATCCTCATAAACAGTGTAACACTCTTAATATCTACAGTTTGTATATACTTGAGAACCATGCAGGCATTTGAGGAGAATGGGTGAGTGAGTGAATGCCGACACCTGCACCATCTTTTAATTTCTTAGGATTATGTAATGATTTTTGTGGCTTCTATTTATTGAATTAACAACCGGCTGTGACTTCCTACAATGCTATAAATGACATAGGTCCTGTCGCCTCACCTGCCACCGTAGTCAGTTGGTATGGTTTGTTTAGGAAAGCGAATAAACTAGGACAATGAAGAACTGAATACCATGATATCTGCATTAAATTTTACGTTGGCATTTTTTGCGTTTCTAACTATAGCTACAGCTAAATATTGTACCCAGGCTTATTGATGGAGATATGCCACGCGTTAACTTGTGTGCCTCCTGTCCGCTTAAGATGACAAATTTGGATACTAAGCTGGACAAATATCAATAAATACGCTGTATGTGTTTGTCCTTTACAACATACAGCATAAGGTTTTGAAAAAAAGGTGTGTCATAAGTGGGATTTGATTTGTTTGTC